CAACCTACCTTTTCATGAAGAAAAAAAAAAAAAAAAAACAGGCCATAGAGATAAAATAAGACTTTTAATTTTTTTTTTTTTTAAACTAGCTGTGAGACAACAGTATTAAAGCTACTATCAATATTTTCTAAACACTGCCTGGCTGCAGGAAATGGAGTATAACGTACACAAGCAAATTTAAGGGTCTTAAGTTTGGATAGGAACATTTCGCCCGTTCAGCTTTTTAATCCGGCCCGCCAAACCTTTTCAAATTATATGATTTATTTATATTATCAGATATTTATATATATATATATAGCCGATGTATATTATTAGGATATTCGCTGCAATATCCATGTTTCCCCAACAGATGTGTAGAAAATGATCATTTTAGCATTTTAGCCTTTATGCATGACTTTTGACTCTTCTGCTCCTGACTCTGTCCCGCTGTTCAATTTTAGGAAAAATTGTGGCCCGCGAGTCAAAAGGTTTGCCCACGCCTGAGCTGGACTGTAATAAATGTCTGAATCGACAACAAATGAATTACAGGTCGTACTTTATCACTTATCACGTTTAAATGTTTGACAGTTTATGTCTGGAAGTCATTCATTCATTTGGTGGATTGTGGTTTTTTTTGTTTGTTTTTTTGACTATATAACAAGCTAACGACACTTGATTTGTCACTGCATGTATTTTTTTTTTCTTCTTGTGGCCGAACTGGATTCCAACTATACCGTTGTGCAAAAATCATCAGGTAATCATGTAAACAAAGAAAGTTTTCTTCATGGACTTTACAGTAGAGATTTTTCAAGGCCGGTCACAGAGGACTAGGGCCACGCCCACAGCAGAGTCTGCATTTTGTCCGTAGACCACTGGCAGAGAAAATGCCCTTTCTGCTTCCTGTCTCAGCACCTCATTGCGAGTTAGTGCGCTCCCGCTGCCCACAATCCTGGTGACTCCAGCCTGCAGAAGGAGTTCCGCGGGCATCATGGATTTGATGTTGTCGAGGACACCATGACACAGCCCCCTGATCACATGACCAAGAGAGAGGTTGGAGGTGGAGATGTTGGTCACCTGACCGAGACTGAGTGGATTGTGTCGTTCACCCAGGATGGTGGGGGTCACTCTCAGATCAGTGGATTCCTGCCTCAGGCCTAGGCAGAGCAGCTTCTCATATAAGGAGGGGTCTTTTAATTCAGCACCTGTGAACGATTGATGGTGATGATGACATTGACGCTTTATTGTAGTCACTTACAATAATAACGACAATGTTAATATATCTATTATGACATGCTGTTCGGGAAATTAATCTGGAATATATTGAATGAAAGTTTGAATAGATACCGTAATTTACGCCCGCTACTTGTTTCCACACACTTGCGGCTAATTTATGGATATTCACGAGCTAATGAATGAATTCATACCGCTAGCGATCAGGGACTTTTCTGGTGGGCTACTGTGTGTTCTACTAGTAGCGTATGTCTGTCTGTGAATGGCTGTGTGCGGATATGTGCGTGGGGCACGTGAGAGAGAGAGAGAGAGAACGGTAGCGAAAGTTGAGAGCAGTTTGAGCCCTGTCATGTTGAAGAGTGAGTTGGTTATACAGGAGCTGTTGAAACTCTATTTTCTGTTGTGCTCGGTGTGGCTGACAATAAAGACCCCAACTTCCCTGTTTCTGTTTACCTCTGCTGCGGACACAGCACAAAGTGAAGGGAGTTAGCCCCCTGAGCTAATGTTAGCTTCGGTTCTGAAGCAGATCACCATTCGGAAAAGCATTTATTTGATTAAAAAAGTGAAAAAAACAAAAAATCTTTCTGTGTAAATATCCCATGTTACAACGTGGACACCTGCGGCTTATAGAGAAGTGCGGCGTATAGATGTACACTTTTTTTTGCTTTTTCAATTTAGTGGGCGTGTCTATTATTATTATTATATTCAGGTTCGCTCAATAGTCCGGAAATTATGGTACGCCTTTTTGACCACACTGCCCCAATCAGGCCTGAGCTAGGCCTGCTACGACCGGCCAGACCGCGCAGGAGCTCCCACAAGAATAGCTTGGATTTATTGAAAACTAGACGAGGGCTCTCAGTAGAGTATATGAAGATGTAGCTGCTATAGCTAGTTCTTTCTTGTACTACTAAAAGAACTAAATTGTAAAAGTGGTAGCTGGATGAACAGCTCCTAATCAGGGTTTAATTAGAGATTTTTTTTTTATGTATACAGTATGTAGAGTACGTGTGTATTCTTTGTCTTTGAAGGTACGTGTCTACTGCAAACAGAGGTAGGGTTGTACAGTGATTATTATCATTTTTGCATGTATTTTTTTTATCCAAACTGAAGTGTACTGTGTGACTGCGTAGCACGTTTTCTTTTTTTTTTCCTCAAATTTCAACATTCTACCCAACTGTACAGACACCTCATGTGCAAGAACTGATATCCAGGCTGTCATTTCAGGGCTATGGTTGATGTTTGTGAAACGGCCTACATGTGTCAATCAGGTGTCCACCTGCCTTCTTTTCACAGATGATGGAAGTAGCCAAAAAAGAGTAGGTGCAGCTTTGGATGTGAGTGGGAAATTCTCTAGGACTGGACTAAGCATGCGGAGGCCAATGCAGGAAGTCTGCTCTGAGTATCTGTGCCCAAGAGGCAGTTACTAATAAAAGCAGCTAATAAATAATTAAACTTCTTCAAAAAATTAAAAGACAGAGAACAATCTGCAATTATATGTACTATATTTTCTGGACAAAAATTTCACCTTTTAGCTGGGTTTGCGACTTATGTATTAAAATATCATCATTTTACGTTCGTTATTTTCAACTGACGGCCGCTAGAGGGCACTAGGCTATGTATTAAAATATATCATTTCACGTTCGTTATTTTCAACTGACGGCCGCTAGAGGGCAGTGGGCACACTGTATTTTTTTCTTCTTTAAACTAATGCTCATTTAAATTGATATCTAATGTGACCATGATTTATCCGGGGCACTGAAATTTTTTTTTTTTTTTGTATATTTTTTTCATATTTAATATTAGTGAAATCAATCTTATGTGAAGACTAAATGGCAGAAACAAATAAAAACACCAACAATTGAATACTGTACAACCACCTACCGAGCTCTTTCATCCAGGCAGTAAGAATTTCCACAAAGGAAGCCAGAACATTCCCGCCATTTAGTGATGCTGCCACAGCCAAATATGTGTTGTCAAAGTATGGGAAGTAGGACACAGAGGAGGTAGGCTGAGTAGACCGTGGGGGCTTAAAGTCAGCTGGCATAGCAAAGGTAAGCTGTGCTGAGGTGCTGATGTTCAAAACTGTAAATAAATCATCAAAGGGTACAGTTAAAGGATGAGGCTCAAGACGGCTCGCCGGATTATAGATCTTACAGAGTGCATCTGCTTTTGTTTTCATAAATAAGTATAGTAAACCACAGTTATTAAAAGCCGCGATTCCCGGTATAAACTGATAATAAAAGTGTTTGATGTGCAGTACGTCTGTATCATGTCATGCATTACTTGTGATCAGAGCTCTACAGAGAGAGAGAGGAGATTTCCTTCTTCACCTGCGTCTGTCCGCGCTCTCATGCAGGAGTAGACGGAGCACTGGAAGTCTCCAAGTGCAGCCCCCACTGCTGCCCCAGCAGCAATGCCATGCCACTCAAAGCAGGTCTGTCCCACCAAACTGCCAGATGGCACACAGTGAGGCAGCAAGGACAAAGGGAAGCTAGCCGCCTTGAGACTAGAGCATGCACATAAACACACACACAGTGGCCTGTTATGTAGGTTAGACACACTCATTCTGACACTGGTTCA